TCTTTACAATAAAGGATCTTCTGGAGGCATCACCATCCCTGACTTCAAGCTCTACTATAGAGCCATAGTTCTGAAAACAGCTTGGTATTGGCACAAAAATAGACAGCTAGACCAATGGAATCGAATTGAAAACCCTGATATTAACCCACACACCTACGAACACCTTATTTTTGACAAAGGTGCTAAATCTATACAATGGAAAAAAGATAGCATCTTCAACAAATGGTGCTGGCACAATTGGATTCGGACATGCAGAAGATTGCAGATAGATCCATACCTGTCACCATGCACAAAACTTAAGTGCAAATGGATCAAAGATCTCACCATAAATCCAGCCACACTGAATCTTCTAGAAGAGAAAGTGGGAATTATCCTTGAACAAATTGGCGCAGAAGACTGCTTCCTGAACATTACGCCAGTAGCACAGACATTGAGGTCTGCAATTAATAAATGGGACCTCCTGAAACTGAGAAGCTTCTGTACCCCACTTTTTAATTGGATTGTTTGGTATTTTGGAGACTAGCTTCTTGAGTTCTTTGTATATTTTGGATATCAGCCCTCTGTCAGATGGACTCACCTGTTTTTAATCATTTGTGTTGATTCTGAAATAAACAGACCCCAAGAAGGCATTGGCTAACACATGCTTCTGTGTCTTAGTTTTTAACAAACAAATTGAAAAAGTAAGAAATAATTTAAGAACTTAAAGAACAGAGATTTCAAGTAGGAAGACATAGTGCAATGTTTGTGTTTCAAACTAAGGGTCATAACAAAACAATTAAATAGTGTTTTAAAAATTAAAGAATTTTTATGGTGGAAATCTTATAATAAGCCAAGGTTCATTTATCACGAAAGAAAGAAAACTATTTTTTTTCAGAAATGTCATGTAGCTTAAGTGTTCTGTGCCTGTAGTGTCTACCTCAATGTGTATTAATGCTCTTGACCTTTGTGTTGGTTCACTCCTTCCTGCCCCCCTCCCCCCAGCTTCTAGTTCTACAGGCTCCATTCATAGTAAGATCCATGTTCAGGCATACCATTTTATTTTGAAATCTCTTTTCTGCATATGTGCAGAAACATTCAGAGGCCAGAAGAGGGCACCTGATCCCCTGAAACTGGAGTTTCAGGCAATTGTGAGCCACCTGACATGGGTGCTGGGAAGTGAACTTGGGTCCTCTGGAGGAGCAGCAAGTGCCCTTTACCTCTGAACCATTGTTCCAGCCCTGATTATTAGTATTCTGTTTTTATTGCACCTTTCTTATGTTTATGTACCCAAAATTGAATGAAACTTACTTACAGCACTCAGTATGGTAACATGTTCTACACACAGGCATGATCACCTTGTGACTGTAGTTCAACAGAAAAATCACAAAACATTGTAAGATTGTGTGTGTGTGTGTGTGTGTGTGTGTGTGTGTGTGTCTGTGTGTGTGTGTTTTTGTAACTCCATTACATGGTTCTTGAGCATAAACTTTGTAGATAACAGTGTAGTGTCATAGTATTAAAAGGTTGAATATACCTGCCAATCATGTAGCCCAGGAGCAATGAGCTGTATATTATAACCTAGGTGTGTAGCAGGTTACAGCATCTGTAAGTACCCTCTTTGATGTTCCTACAATAAAGTCACCTAGCAACACATCTCAGAAGCAATGCATCCCCATCATTAAGAGATGCATGACTGTACCAAGAGATTTCCTCACTGTTTCTACTTGAATTACACATTATTTAGAATTCTTCAGAGCAACAGAACCAATACAAAAAGTGTGCATGTGTGTGCATGTTTGCACATGTACACATGTTTGTGTTAGTCTTTAACTTACAATGAGGTTACAGCCCCATCATAAATTGAAAATATCATTAAATTAAGATGCATTCAATACACCCAATCTGCCACGTATCCTTGTTTTGCAGTACGGTACACTCTAGAGTGTGGTGTTTAACCTTATGGCTGTGAAGTTGACTGGGTGCTGTGAGTGACTTCCCAATTACATTTTCATTCAGGATGTTTGGCAAGAAAGGTATCATAGGTCATGGCCAGTTGAGACTAGCAACAGAAGTAGTCTACTTGAAAAGATTTCAGGTTTAGTTATTATCAATCATTAAATTGGTTTATATATATATATATATATATGCATTTAAAGAAGTTAAGGGGCTGATAATATAAATATAGAGCAGGAGGCTTTTTGGAAAAGAGCCAACTAAACTAACCAAAGCTGATGAGACCAACAGCAGATTAGATAGCAGTGAGAAAAAGGAAGAGCGTATTACAAGATCTCAGAGACAGACTGTGGATGTCGATCAGTTTGTAGAGTGCTTGCCTTGCTTATATGAAACTCTGGGTTTGACCCTCCGTGTTGCATAATATGGTAGTCTTCACCTGTAATCCCAGCTCTTAGGGCATGGAGCAGGAAGATCAAAAATTAAGCTAATAGGGATTTTGGGCCAGTCCAGGATACATGAGACTCTTATCAGTAGAGGGAAAAAAGATGGCTGAGAATGAATCACAGAGAGATGAAAGGATAAGATGGGAAAGAGATAATAAAGATAAAGAAAACGCCAACCAATGGTCATTGGATTTCCAGACGGTCAGGAGAGAGGATATATGCACCTTAGTGACATCACTCCTTATCATGACAAAAGCCCTGACAAAAACCCATAGAAGAAAAGATTAATCTTCCTCCCACATCAGGGAGAACATGGCCAGGGGCCACTCTGGGCCACTATCCTCTCTACCACTTGCCCATCAAGTTAGCTGAGGTCTCTTTGGCTCAGTCTCTCTATCGGTAAAGAGGGCAATGAAGTATCTACACCAGAGCTTTGTTGTGAAACTTGAATGACTTAAAATACATGCAATACTTGCATCAGAGCCAGCACCTGCCAGTCCTGACAAATGTTAACGTGGTGGTTGCTCATGGTGGTGCCTGAACTGAGTCCCATCTCTCACAGCTCAAGGCAATTGGGACTGAATAAAGTTCTTCAAGTTAGGATTTAACTATTGGTATATTTAAAGTATGGTTTTAAAATATCAGATTAGGATTCTACCAATCTCAGACTCATGGTGATAGAACATAAATACTTGTGCATGCTAAGGAGCTTAATTTAAGGCATTATAGTTATTCAGATTTTTCTCTGTTCCTGAAGCAAAGTTATCCCCAAGACCATATCCTATACAAAAATCTATCTTGTCTTTTAGGGTCTGCCAAAGTTTGTATGAAGGTTTTCATTTTAGGTGGAACTTGGTTCCAAAGACTGATTGGTGGATTCTGTCTACTGCAATCATGGCTTTAGTAACAGACCCCCAAAGAATGTAAAGGGTTTGAATCCATGGCCATAATGCATTGAATCATACCTATATATTTTAAATTTTATTTTTATTTTATGCATGTAAGTGTTTGCCTGAATGTATTTATTTGTACCACATGTATGCCTAATGTCGTCCAAAAGAGGGCATCAGATCCCTAGAACTGAAGTTACACATGGGTGTAAGCTGTAGGTGCTGGGAACTGGTCATGGATCCTTTGTAAGAGCCACAAGTGCTCTTAATTACTGAGCCACCTCTCCAATCCTGAATCCTACCTATATTTTTCTCACTTGGTGGGTGGGTCACAGTCCTGGATGTGGTAGAGGTAGAATTGTGTAATAGACCTAAGTCTCTCTTCCTTCTAGTATGTAAAGCGTTCTTAAACCGATTCTACAACTCCTTGCTCACCAGAGGAGTAGACTTTTCTGTGGACACCATAGAGGAAGAGTTGGCCAGCTTTTGCTTGGATGCCAAAGGAAAAGAAAGCCACCTGGTATGGTAAATTTCATTTCTCTGGTGTGTTTCAAAAAACAAAACAAAACAAAAACAAAACTACCAATAATTTCCCTTTCCACTTGGAGTTGGGGTCTTCCTTCTTCAATGCCTAACTCAAACATGCTCACTGTAGATGGCAAGCAGAAATCAATCTTCTGGGAAACATAATCCTATGTGTTAAGTCTTGAATCCTGGGACAAATGGCTGAGATGCCTATTTAACAAATCAAAGTGGACCCAGCCACCAAGTATTCCAGCATCCTTCAGTCCCTACTTGTTACAGGGTCCTCATATAGCTCAGGGTGATGTCCACTGTGGACTCTTCCAGAGGTCTCTGCCTCTGGCTATCCTCTCCCTTTTATCTACAATAAACTTTCTCTTCCACCACACCTAGGAGAAGTCATGTCCTTTCCATTTTATTTCTTTTCCCCATTCACTGTGGATTCTTATTGAGAGTAAACCAGTTTTCCTTTCTAAGTAAATCACAGACAAGTAATTTTACATTTTCTTAAACTGGATTGTAAAGCTTTTCCTGATGAGAATTTACTATTGCAAGGCTTTTTCATTTGTTACTAAGACACTTAGTCAAACCCATAAATTATCTCAGTATTAGTCACATGTAATGATTCAGGATTTTATGTTTTCTTTTTTAGATTGTATTTCCTGAATTTAATGTATGGCTTGTTTCAGTACTTCTATATCAATAAAGACAATTTTAGATCAAATCATTTTTCCCATCTTGGTATTGAACATACAACCTTGTTCATGCTAAGTATGTGTTTTGCTACAGTGCTATACCTCAGGTACCAGACCAGTTCTTTTTTGCCTAAAGTGGCCATGCTAATGTACACTACTGACTGACACATTGCCAAACTCTTGTCTTTTATTTGTGACTAACATTTATATATGTATGAACACAAGAAAGGCTTATTTTTATATGTGTATATGTGTGTGATTCTGTGTAGGGGTTTGTGCATGTGTGAATGCAGGTACCTGAAGAGGCCAAAAGGTGGTGTTGGATCCCTTCCAGATGAAGACAGGATATTGTAAGCTGCCTGGAATGGGTAGATGTTGGGAATCCAGCTCAAGTCTTTTGGAAGAGCAGTATGAACTCTTAAATGTTGAGCCAGGCCTCAGCCATACATATACATGCATGCATGCATACATACATACATACATACATACATACATACATACATACACACACACACACACACATACATACATACACACACATACATACATACATATGCCTGCTTTTTTGAGACAGGGTTTCTCTGTGTAGACCTGGATGTCCTGTAACTTGCTCTGTAGACCAGGCTGGCCTTTAACTCAGAGATTCACTTGCCTCTGCCTTTGCCTCCTGAGTGCTGGGGTTAAACGTGTGCACCACCACCACCTGACTTTATATTTTTATATGTAACATTTTAAGTCAGGTAACTAGAAAGGCAGTATGATGAAAGTTACAGACATGGTGATATATGTGACAGCTAAAATTCTGGACTGTATAATTCTGTCTTTTCTACTTTTGGGCTGGGTAACCTTCTGCTGTCTTGGGTACAATATGGGGATAACAATAGCACTCGGGATCACTGTGAGAAGTAAATAAGCTAATCCCTTTGAAGAAGGGAGAGCAAGCAGTGCCTGTGAGAGCAAGCACTAAGTGTGAGTTCTCACCAGTCTTCAACCATCATGGGAATCTTCAGGCATATCTAATTAGTCTGATGACAAGACTGGAATGCCTCAGCCAGTCAGGGTTAAAATTTAACAGCTGGACTATGAAAACAAAGCTAACCCCTCTCTCTTTCCCCCTTTTTTTCTTTGGTGTTTCAAGACAGGGTTTTTCTGTGTAACAGCCCAAAATGTTCTGGAATTAGCTCTGTGGACTAGGCTGGCCTCAAACTCACAGAGAATCCACCTGCCTCTGTCTCCTGAATGCTGGGATTAAATGTGTGCACCACCACCCTGTCTCATTCTCCCTTGCTTATACTGTTTTTCTTACTTTTATTCATTGTTGGGAATACTAAGTCTTTCTAGTTACATTTCATTTGTTTATTTTACATGCATATGTGTGGCATGTATATAGAGGTCAGAGAATAACTTGCTAGAGTCTGTTCTCTCTTTCTACCATGTGGGTCTCAGGGGTCAAGCTAAGGTTGTTGGTGGTAGGCATCTTTGCCATCCCAATCATCTCACCAGCCCTGTATTGCCTGTCATTCCCCTTTCAGTGTTATTATCTAGGAGCCAGCAAAGATTCAGCCACCAAGATCCTAGGTGAAGTCACACGTCCCTTGAGCGTGCACGTACCCATAGTGAAGATCTGTGAGAGGCTGAAGAAGATGAACAGCCAGATTTGTAAGCTAAACTATGGTACGAGAGACTTTTCCATGTGTCGTTGAGCTTTGAAACACTGGGCCATGCTATCTAAAAAGCCAGCATTAGAGGGAAGGAATTCTCCACTCACTGACAGGTTGCTGAGTTGGTGAATGGTGCTTTTGTGTCAGCTGAGCTCCTGTAAAGGAAGGGAAATAAATAAACTAATAATAACCCAATATCATATATGTGTGTCTGGGAAATTCCTGAAAATGAATAAAGGAGCCACGTATGGTGGACTGTGAAGACATGAGTCAATGTGTTCAATGGCAGGAGGGCTTTGAAGTTGTAATGTGACTGCATTTTCATTCTGGGTGTGTTTATCCTTCTTCCAACTTCTACTTTTAGGAACTGGGCTAGTTTCATCAAACCAGGTTTTGCATGATGACACAGCTCATCAGGGATGCCTAAAATAAACAGCCAGGAAAGGAAGGTGATGTCCTATTTAAAAACTCTATCCTTGGCCTTATAAATTTCATATGGTTAAATCTATTCTTATACTGAAGGATTGTATCTGGGCCAGCCTTTTGTGTTGTAGATGGAGTCAGTGTGATTGAAGGATGGGAAAATTGTTCCCTCAGCTATCCTTAATACCCGAAATTCCACTGATAGAGACACTTTCTTCTGCCTAATTTGTTCTCTCTCTCTCTCTCTCTCTCTCTCTCTCTCTTGCACACACACACACACACACACACACACTTACTGTAAATGACCTAGGTAATTAGCATCCAGCTCTGTATCATTTAGACTCATTTCCCACCACAGCTGTGCAATGTGCGCATGTCCCATAGCTGCACAGCAAACATGAAACAGGTTTAAAGTTGAAAGACACCAAAGACAACCTCGTTCATGTTTGCCAAGCACAGGCCTTGCTTTCCAGGGTAGTTATTATGGGTAAGCGTACCTTTTTATTGACTTCAAAGGAGTAGGATAGAGGCAGGAAGCCCCGAGTCCGTATAAAACATGGTCACAGAAGGGACAGCTGTGTGCTGAGTATTTCATAAAACAAATTTATTTGCGAAGACTTGCACTTACAATGAATGGATTTACCTCACAGGGCTCCTTAAATATTAGAAAAAGTACAGGATATTATAGAGAAAACTAATATTTATTTATACCTGAGAACACTGGCCATTAGAGAACCTCGGGAAGCCATCAACTAATTTTACTTTCTGTATCGACCTCTTTCTTGTACTTTTCAGAGTATTGTGGCATTCCCCCTTTTAAACTTAATGCCTTTTAAACTTTTTCCCTAGAAAAATATCAAAGAAACTGCTGACATTTACTTGAAGTTATTTTTCTCCAACAATTTCTCTTGAATGTATCAATAATTATAAATTGCTTTCAGTTTATTGTCAGACCCCCTGGAGTTGGAGTTTCAGGTGGTTATGAAGTGCCTGCCGTGGGTTTTGGGACTTGAACTTGGTCCCTCTGCAAGAGCAGAGTATGCTTTTAATTGGAGGGACACCTCTCCAGCTCTGATTTCCTCACACTGTTACGAAGACTCCATAACACATACCTTATTGAAGGTGTATTTTCTCTTAAAACTGGACTATGTCCTATGTCTCTGTTAGTTAGCCACAACAAAGGCCATGCCAAAGACACTGGCTTTTATTTATAAATTTCTGTTGTTTCAACCTTTGGAGAAGCAATTAAACAATTAAATTTGTTCCAGGAATGCAGACTTGTTTTGAAAACTTCCAGGCCCTTGTTTTGAAGCCCACATAACCCTTTAGGAGGATAGTCAGAATGCAAACTGTACTAGTAGCTTTATACAGTGGTGGATAACAAAATCCCCAGGGCCTCAAGTTCCTAATATAAAATGGCATAGCATTTACATAGACTCCAGGCACATTACTAACATTACACCATATAATGCAAATGTTATGTAAATAGGTTTCCATTACATCTTTTGTGTGTTTGTGTGCATATGCATGTGTGTGCTTGAACTCCTGTGCATGTCTATATGTGTAAGTGCATGTGTGCCACAGCACACATGTGAAGGTCAGGGAACAATCTGTGGGAGTAAGTTCCCTCTTTCCATTGTGTGGATCACTGGGGATTGAACTTAGGTCCTTGGGCTTGGAAGCAAGTGCCTCCCCCCACAAGCCATCTTAGCTAGCACATAGTTGTTATACTGTATTGTTTAGGGGATAATGACAAGAAAATCTCTGTATATGCTCAACATAGATTCAGTATTTCCCTTTCTTTGTCTATGATGGGTAGCACTCAAAGACATAGAACCCAAGGATATAGAGGGCTGACTGGTGATGCCGAATTTTCTTTGGGTATGTCTTGATCCCCATGAAAAGGGAATTGGAGTCTGAAGGAGAATGGAGTCAGTACCATATGCCCTTCTAAGAGTTTGGTGAGATTTTTGTTTTGTTCAATTATGTGCTCTTTTTTGACATTTAGAGAAGAAATTGGACTTGGCATCGGTGGACCTATGGAAGATGAGAGATGCAGAATTGAAGCAGATCCTGCACAGCTGGGGGGAAGAGTGCAGGGCCTGTGCAGAGAAAAATGACTATGTGAACCTCATTAAAGAACTGGCCCCCAAATATGTAGAGATACACCCCCAAATAGAGCTCTGACTTCAGCTATCAGTGCACATGGACTGTAGTTAGAGCAAAACAACTGTCTAAGTTGTCTAAGTAATAGAAGTTACTATTACTCATATAAAGGAAATTCATTCAAAGAATACAAATCAAGAATCCACAAGTCTATGTTTGGTTTAATTATAACCATTATTGAATTGCCAAGTGACCCAAGCTCAGAGTCGTCATCTTTCATTGTCACACACCAGTCAGGACTAAATCATACTCAGCACATACAGGCAGCAGAGATAATTACGGTTCTTAATGCTATTCTTTCAGCTTTAAGCAGCAAACAATAGTTTCAGCTCCATTTTCCAGCCATAGACTAATAAGAACCCCATGGTAGAAGTGCTTGCCTTTCTGTCATAGGTTAGGGTTTGGATACTCAAGAAAGCATTCTCTTGAAACTTTCTGGGGTGGTGGGAATGTCCCTTATCAAGTTGGGTGATAAGAGATATGATCATCACATTGATATGGAAGTATAATTAAGATGTTGTGGGTGTTTTATTGTACATCAATTCTCTCTAATAAACAGTTGTTAAAATTATTTGAGAGAGACTGGAGAGATAGCTCGGAGGTCAAGAGCATTGGCTACTCTTCCAGAAGTCTTGAGTCAATCCCCAGCAACCACATGATGGCTCACAACCATCTGTAACGAGATCTGGTGCCCTCTTCTGGCCTGCAGGCAGACAGGCAGAGGGAACACTATATATATAATAAATAAATAAATCTTTTAAGTTATTTGAGAATTACCCAAAATTAATTGATTAAAAACAACCGTTCATTTCCATAATCAAATGAACTTACTGGCAATTTAATTTGTGGAATAGAGAACTTATTCAGACAGTAAATATACATTGACAGAATAATGTTCACTTTTAAATGATGCAAGTGAATGTATTTTCACCAAAGCAATGGGGTGTGAATGAACCTATTAGAGAATTAGTGGTTCCTAAGGAGCTATGTAGGTCATGTAGCTGAAAAATAAGAATAAAAAGTCTTAGTGTAATGAATGACCCAAGGTGGTTATTGTTTCTAGAGTTTAGCAGTTTTCTCAACATGTGGGAATATCCTCCTTCGTTTTGAATTTTATGTAAGAAATGCCAAAGTTAGACTAGAGAAATGGCTCAGTGGTTAAGAGCACTATCTGCTTATCCAGATGACACAGGTTCAAGTCCTAGCTCACAATATCTATAACACCAGTTCCAGGGGCTCCAATGCCTTCTGACCTCCACAGGCACCAGGCACACAAGTGGTAGAAAGGTGTACATGCAGGCAAAATACCCATACATGTAAAATAAAAACAAAAATACCAATGTTAAGCTTCAAAAAGTTTTATGAAAACATATCTCTTAGTCAGTGTTCTATTGCTGTGAAGAGACACCATGACCACAGTAACTCATAACATAAAGCATTTAATTTGGGGCTTGCCTACAGTTTCAGAGGTTTAGTTCACTATTATCATGGTGGGGAGCTTGCAGGCAAACATGGTGCTGGAGAAGTAGCTGAGAATTCTACATCCAGATCTACTGGCAGCAAGAATATGAGACACTGGGCCTGATGTGGGATTTTAAAACTTCAAAGATGAAAACAGGAGAATTCTGGGACACTCCTGGCATAGATAACATGGAATACACATTGATGAACTCAAAATCAAGGTGAAGGCAAGGATAGACACACAAGTGACTTTTCAAGACATACATCTGAAAGAAAGGATGGTTGGTGGCTGTTCTCCCAAAATATATTTGGAAATAAAATTCCACCTAAGAATAATCTTCTTGGACATATTATAATTCTGAATCTAGAAACTGTGTTTTTTTTTTCTTACTGCCTATCATTTTTTCTTTTTGTTATAGTGTGGGTATCTTAAAATTGTAGTATCACAAAACATTAATGTTAAGAAATTAGTTGCATTAAGTTATTATTCTCCTAGAAATATATTTGGAGGCTAGAAAAACACTGTAGCCAGGGCACATATACTAATATTGATAAATTACCTACCCTTAGGGGCTTGAAGCAGCACCCTGTGACACCTTGATTAAATCTAGGCCAGATAATGCTACTAGAAGAATTTAGGTCAGCTCAGGATTGCTATCAAATGAGATTCACAAAGAACCTTTTGAGTATCAGAACTTTTTGGAATAAAAGAGTGTGGATGGTATATAGCATTTTTATGGTAACTCTGGTTTCAGTGGGTCTCAACCATTAAATTAACCATTTCCCATTTCCCATAGGCTTCTAGAGGTTGAAAAGTACTTGGGACCACCAGAAAGCCAGGCATTAGGGTACCTGGCCTGTTCTTTGGCTACTGATTTTCATGGTTCTCTGAGAAATTTAACCATCGGATAGCTACTGAGAAAACACTTTCACTGAGTCACTTTCCCTCCCTCAACCTCTATATCATCTCTGTTTTTTTTTTTTTGTGTGTGTGCGTGTGTGTAGGTCACAAGAGCAGCCACGCCCCCTTCTCACAGCCCCCACCCTTCGAATATCACTCATTAAAAGCAGGTGTCTCTGGCCTGTCAGTTATTCTTTCAGGATGCACTGTGTACAAGCAGCTGCAGAAGATGTTCACTGGGCTCCTACTCTTTTTCCTTTTGAATTTTTAAAAACCCATTTTGGAAAGAACAGATCAAATGTTGACTTCTTAGTCATGGGGCAGCTATAAATACATTGCAAAGGATAGTGGGCTGTACAATTTCTACCAGTTAAGAAGCTTGCCCCCTGCTGGATATTATCTCAAAATTATGTGTACATCTCAGGAATTTAAGTGTTCCCCTCACTTCTAAAAGTTAAATTTTCATTTACATCTATTAAGTCTCTGTATGTGTGTGTGTGTTTAAAGTGTATGACGTATGTGCATGTGTGTGTTTGGATGTGTGATCTCAGGTGTCCTGCTCTACACTCCTCACCTCATTCCCTTGAGACAGAGTCTCTCACTGAACCTGGAGCTAGCCTGACAGCCCCAAGCCCAAGACACCCCCGTTTCCTCCTCCACAATGCTGCAGTTACAGGCACATGCAGCCATGTTTGGCTTTTATGTGGTTGCCAGGGATTTGAATTCAGGTCTTCATGCTTGCTCAGCAAATGCTCTTACCCAAGGAGCCATCTCCCCAGCCCTGGAGCCATCTCCCCAGTTCAGGAGCCATCTCCCCAGTCCTGGAGCCATCTCCCCAGTTCTGGAGCCATCTCCCCAGTCCTGGAGCCATCTCCCCAGTTCTAGAGCCATCTCCCCAGCCCTGGAGCTATCTCCTCAGCACTGGAGCTATGTCCCCAGTCCTAGAGCCATCTCCCTAGCCCTGGAGCCATCTCCCTAGCCATGGAGCCATCTGCCCAGCCCCTCCAGTCTTCTTTGATCTTGAGACAACAGGAGGGTCTTCACTGCTTTCAGAAAGAAATCCAGGGTTTTCTCCTTCATAGCCTATATCTGCCTCCCCAGAAAGTTCACAGTGCTGCTGCACCTTGACCTTGGGCAGGAAGCACTCCATGCCTGGCTCAGACTCACACAGTTCTGATTGTTAGTGGTTCCTAGACTTTTCATTCTGTGGGGAAACCTTAAAATGATCACAACCTCCTGAATATACAAAGCTGTAAATGAAAGCAAGAAGTTGAAAAGAAAGACAAATTAGAATTTAAATTCTAGGTCTGCCTATGTTTGGTTGTAGCAGCCGAGGAGAAAAATTAAACAGATTTTCTGGTCCTTTATGTTGTATCTTAAGAATGGATCCAATAAGTATGTACAATATGAAGTGATTATGAAGATTAAATGAAAGATATAAGCAAAATACATAAGTGAGTAAATAGCATAGAGCAGGTATCTCAGTAGATATTATTTGTATCTGTTTGGTACTCTCATTTCCCTCCCTCCCTCCCTCCCTCCCTCTCTTCCTTCCTTGCTCTCTCCTCCCTCTCCATTTCTCCCTTCTTTTCTTCCTTGTGGTTTTACTACATAGTTCAGGCTGGGCTCTGACTCCTGACACTCCTATCTCAGCCTCCCAAGTGCTGAGATTACAAGTGTGCACCACCACACCTGAGTCTTCATGTATTTTTCTTTAGAAGATTTTGCTTATCCTTAGAGAATTCTATCTGAAAGCGTGGTGAATACTGACTCATTTATTTTATAGACGAAGAAGATGGACAGAGAGATGTTGGAGATTTGGCCACAGATGTCCAATAATTAATTCAGTTCAGCTGATGTCTGAACTGGACCTAATCTTTAGACTGAGAAATTCAAGGTTGATAGTTTGGCAACTTTGAAATTAACTTTTAAAAGTGGTCAAATATGCTCATATCTTGTGCCTTTGGATTTTTAATCATACTACAATAGTCAAATAGTCAAATAAATATGACCCAATGAGGCTGGGATTTAACAAATAGCCAGCACAATGTGTTCTGGATGGCAGCTATGAAATGTGATGGACTTTCTCTCCATTTTGGAAGGGGTGACTCAATGTTTCTGGAACATTCTTTAGTTCTACTCTACACACCTCTGTTATGCTATTGCATCAGGTTGGCTGCAAGATGATTTACTGTTGGATCAACAATACAGAGAATGAGGAAATATGTTTATGGAGCTCTTTATTGCAGCCACACAGACTAGTTGTCTGGCATCACTTGGGAAATGGGCTCATTAGCACATGTCTTCTTTAACACTCTTGAAATTTAATCATCTAAAAATGAGGTACTTTATGGACTTTATCTTTTCAGTAGTTTCTATCTTTCTTTTATTTCTTTAAATATTTATATTTATTTTTAATTATGTGTGTATGTGAGTGGTTATGTGCATGTAAGTGCAGTGCCCTTGGAGGCCAAAAGAGGGCACTAGGTCCTCTGGAGCTGGAGTTACAGGTGGTTGTGAGCAATCCACTATGGGTGTTAGGAACTGAACTCTGATCTTCTACCAGAGCAGCAAGTGCTCTTAACCACTGAGCTACATCTCCATCCCTTGCTCTTCATTTTTTAATACAAGGCAGTAAATGTAATAAGTAATAAGACAGGTGTGGTAGCACAGTGCATATAATTCCAGCAGGTAGGAAACTGAGGCAGAAGGCCATGTGTTGAGGGTCAATCTGAGCTGCAAGCATGGCTCTGCTTAAAAAAAAAAGTCAGCTGCTTCAACTTGAA